AAAAAAAAAAAAAAAAAAAAAAAAAAAAGATAAAGTCTAAATATTCTGGTCTGTTTACCTCTCCAGCCTCATCTCTTCCCATTGCCTCTGCTCTCAGAGCTCTCAAACTTCTAAGAGTCCAACAAAAGTACCATCTTCTCATTTCTTTCTAGGGCTTTGCAAAGGCTGTTCCTGCTGCATGGAACACTTCCCCATCCTTTCCTTGTCTTTTCACTTATCCCTCAGGTCTCAACTCTCATGTTCTCCTCTCTCGGAAGTTCTCCCTGACCCTTCAGGCTGTGTCAGGTCCCTCTTCTGGACTCCCGCATCCCCTGAGCCACCCCCATCCCAGGCTTGGTGACGTTGCCTGAGCTTCCCTCATTACAGCCTTGAGCACTCTGAGATGTCCCTGTCTGGTGACAGTCCAATGGAGGAGTCCATCTCCCCCATTGGACTGGGGCTGAGTCCCTAGTCCCCCAGCATTGCCCAGCACAGAGCTGGGCACAGAATTGATGCTCCTCACAGGTTGGGTTGTGCCTGATTCCTCTCTGGGTCCAAATGCCCAGTGCCAGCTCAGTCACACAGTGGGGGCTGGGTAAAATCTGATGCATAAATTAACCATCTGCCAGATGAGGATTCCTCAGACTGGGCTCTAGCCTCTCCCTCCTTCGTATCTCTACAACGCTGACTTCATCCTTTGGGTCTCACCCTTGGGTCTCTCTCCAGCCCATGAAGCTCCCCAAGGCAGGAGGGGATCTGACTTTCTCTGTGCCTGGAGCAAAGGGGCTACACAGAGGTCTCAGTGACTGTTAAGTGAGCGAATGAGGGAATGAATGGATGAATGAGCAGGAGCAGCAGGGTGGGAGAGGGAGATGGTGGGGGAGGGTGGATGAGGACAAGAAGATGGAGAGGACCCAAGGATCACATCGGGGTACAGTGCATGCTTGGGATTAGGGTGGAGTAGGGAGGAGGGTAGCAGCTGGAGAGGCTGAAGTAAAGGTTCAGGCTGATGGGGGATAAGGGAGGGTTGGTTGAGAGGGACTGGGAAGGGGTGAGAAAGACGAGAAGGAGAAGAAAAGGGTCAGGCTGAGGATGGAGCCGGGTGGGGGTGGGGCTCAAGAATGAGAAACCGGCTGATGGTAGGAGGAGGGGTCTAGGCCAGGGAGGGGTGGAGGCTGGGATGAGGACGCTGAGGATGGCTCTGGGATAGGGGCTGTTGAAGGACCCAGATAGCCTCAGCAGGTCCCTACGGGGGCCACTTGGAGGATGCGGGGTCCTTCCCTGGACCAGCCCTTTTTCCTCCCAAGTCTGGGTCTTCGGCCACTGTCACCCCCATCCAGGGCGTGGAAGGGGGGATGCGCGCTGAGGGGGCGGGGCTCGGGTAAGAGCTCCGGCCCAAGACCAGGCCGGGGTACGAGAGGGACCGCGGTGAGGGGTGAGGGGCGGCGCAGGCCGCGGGCTCGGGCGGGGCCGGGGGC